TTCAGATTTGAATGCATTTCAAAACAGTGGCGAAGAGTTGTCTTCACAACACAAACGGAGATAATTGAATACAAATGGAATTCTTTCCGTCAAAACAATTGCCATATATTTGAGACAATTCTTAAGAAATGTCCAAATATTTCATTCATTCATTCGCCGTATTGTTTGAAAGACACAACAATTGATCTCTTTATCAAACATTGCTTTCATTTGACGCACATTTATATGAACTTCTTTGCAATTAGTGTCGAAACAATTGATAATTTTTTTACTAAATTTGGTCCACAATTGAAATCAATTAAAATCTATTCATTCAATGAAAGTGTGGACAAAAAGTCAATCGAGAAATGGCTGGAAATGTGTGTAAATATGCTATCACTTGATATCTATTCCCAATCCATAGGATTTCTATCATTACAATCGGTGGCCGAAAGCCGAGTGCCGTTTAAACGACTCAATACTATTGACATTAAATTGAGTTCTGCGGCCGATATTCAGGCATTGGATGCGTTTGCGGACAAATACGGCCATCAAATGAAGACAATTGTATTAATGAATTGGTGGATAGAAGAAGAGTTGATACCCGAAGCGATCAATCATATGATGGTCTGTTCTTCACGAATGCGAGCATTAATTAGCCTAAAACTCGATTATATTTCATCACAAGAGTTGATCCCATTATTGACTCAAATTGATATCAATTGTCCGCAAATGAAGAGTCTTAGCGTTTGTGCCGCACATTTTACTTCAGAATTGTTTCATTCGATTAGTGAACGGTTTAAACAATTGCGAAGACTGGCCATCGATGGACACATCGCTCCGGGACTGACATTTAGCGGCTCTTTGTTCGCGCCATTCAAACGGTTAACTCATTTGACGATATATTCGGGAATTCATATTACGGACCAATTCTTCGTTAATATTGACCACAATTTACCAAAACTTCAGTATTTGGAGATATTTCACGTATGTTTCAACGAAGAGTCGTTGATATCAATGTCTGGATTGAGACAAATCCGTGGCATTACTCTTAAGGGCTATTCTGACAGAGATTTGAGTAAAATATGTGTCAATAATTTCAATTCAAAAAGTCCTAAAATTGTTAAAATTGTGGCCACAGTATCGTTGTAATAATCTCATTGTCTATTATAACTTCTCTAACAATATATTAAGCAAAATATCTGTCAATAATTATGATCACTAAATGTCCCAAAATTTGTTTCTTTGAATTAATAAATTAAATACTTAATTACAATTGAGTCGATTTATTTTGAAATAAAATTACTAATAATGATGTGAACACCAAATACCTGTTTCCCTCATGTCTTATATTAATGTATAAATACATTCACTAAACATATTTAATTATAATTACAATTAATTTTTCTTGTGTTAAAACTCTTTATTTTGTATCCAATGCTTACTGTATTTAATAAATTAAGATTTAATAAATACAATATTTGTGTATTAATTTTATTCAAACATATCGTATTTTTAAAATATGCAATAAATTAAACAAAATATTCAAACTCGACTCACATTAATTATTAATTAAATGTAATTAATAACTAGTACAATTATGTTCATTACATACATTCAGAACCAATTAATTTGAATTAATAAAACCCAAACCAGTGTGTAGTAAACCAAATACTATATCACCAAATAACTACATTTCAACCAAACATTATAACAATATTCCACAAATCACTAAACAATACATTTTTAATAATTATAATTTTATATTTTAATTAAAACCTAGTATTTAAATGTCATTACAATTGCCTGTGATTTATGCCATCAATGGGTTTAGTATTAATATTTGTTTCATGGATTCAAATACAACACAAATGAGTTGTAACACTGGATGAGTCGGGGATACACTTTGGACACTACTTCGGCCTTACGGTCGGGCAGACAGTCGTAACCCCAACCGCTGTTCACATCCGGATGAGACATACATACGGACAACAAATGGATTACGAGAGCCGCCGATGTTATGTAAAAATACATTTTAAACATTCATTTGTTTTATTATAAAATAATTTTTTAAATAACAATTCACATCAGTTTTATTGATTGAGTGAATACAAAGCTAATTAATATTAATATTCAATTAATATACAATTCAATTGTTTTATGTTTATTCACATGAGTTTTATTTCAGTTTTAAATTACTACAAATTACAAGATTGTAATATAAACTTGTTTTTAAGGACTCGTGAATTTGGATATCAATTATCATAAATTCAAAAATTCAAAAACAAATTAAACTAACATAATATTACATTATTATCTACACATGTATTATCTGTACATTGTTATAACGATATTTGTGTAATTTTATCAAGAAATTGCAAAAATAAGAAACTAGTTAAGTAACTATTTGACCCTTTTTTAGCAATTATTATAATGACTATTTGTGGGTATAATAAACAACTATTTTGCGATTCTCTGTTATTAAGGTAAAGAATTAATGACTGATTTAAACAATTTTTAAACTTTTATAATTATAATGAGTTAATCGTTTAGTTGTAGAAAATAATCATTGAATTGAATTGAATTAATATTTAATAATTGTATGAATAATGAATTAATAATTAATTATTAAACACCTTTACAATAAATAAAATATGAGACAAAATATTCCACATTTTATGACAAATGTGTGAAATATAGAGAAAGTGAAGAAAGAGTTGGCATTCAATACAATTATCACAACATTTTTGTCAACTATTTTTGTATTCATTTTTATGATAAAAATTGGCGTTTAATTGAGTCACGAATTGATTTTGTGGTAAAAATGGCGAACACGTATTCTTCGGACTCTTTGGATAAAATGCATTCAAATCTGAATTTGTCTTCGAGTGAGAGATAAGACAACAACTCTTCGCACAAATCATCACCGAATCGATCCAAAGAGTCCGAAGAATACATTTAATACAATTCTTTGATTCAAATTAATAATGAATTTCTTGTGATAGAAATTAACACAATTTATAATCAAAAATGTTGTGATAATTGGATTGAATGCCAACTCTTTCTTTACTTTCTCTATATTTCACACATTTATATATTTATACTTTCCTATAAAAAGTGGAATATTTTAAGTCTCACATTTTTTCTATATTAAAAGTGTTTAATTAATAATGAATTATTATTTCATTTATTGAATACTCAATTTTCTATAACTAAATGATTATAATTATAAAAGTTTAGAAATTGTTTGAATCAGTTATTACTTATTTACCTCATTAACAGAAAATCGCAAAATAATCGTTTATTATACACCCAATACTCACTATAATAGTTGATTAAAAAATGTCAAATAGTTAATCAAACAGTTTTTTATTGTTTTATTGCAATTTCTTGATATAATTACACAAATATCGCTAAACCAGTGACACAAATAAAATTTATATGTATACTAAACTAATACTTTTGTAATTTTGAAGGCAAAACATTCTCAAGCAAGCATAATATTGCTTATAATCAGCTCTTGTACCTATAATTCTTATTAAAATATGTTGATTATTTATTTTAATATAATTCACGCTGTGATTTTAAGCATATGGTTGTCATTAATATGGATTACATATGTATAATTGAAATTTATATGGTATTTTAGTAATGATATACATAGTTTAACTTACAATTATTGTAATTACAATAATTATTCATATTATGTTAGTTTTATTTGTTTTTTAGTTTATGATAATTGATATCCAAATTCTTGTAATTTGTCGGTAATTTAAAACTGAAATAAAACTTATATTCATAAATCATCAAACAATTTGATTGATACTAATATTAATATTAATTAGCTTTCATTCTCTCAATCAATAAAACTGATGTGAATTGTTATTTAGGAAATTATTTTCCAATAAAACAAATTAATGTTTGAAATGTATTTTTACATAACTTTTGCAATACATTTGTTGTCCGTATGTATGTCTCATCCGGATGTGAACAGCGGTTGGGGTTACGACTGTCTGCCCGACCGTAAGGCCGAAGTGGTGTCCAAAGTGTATCCCCGACTCATCCAGTGTTTCGACAACAGATGGGGTCCGAAGAATGACACTCTCATTGATTGTTGCCATGAGTTTGAATTGATTACCGCAATGAAGACTGTGGTAAATTCGAGCCCATTTACTAATGCTTTTATTTTAGATTTAGCTCAATGCTTTCCTATTAGATAGCAGTTTATTTTGTAAATAGTATTAACAATAGTTGTATTTGCAATAATTTTAATTGAATTTAACAATATTGTATTACCACTTCCCGCCTCCACCCTTACGTTTGACTTAACAAGTTTGACAAGGAGTGTACAGTGCAGTCGCCTGTGCCAGTGCGCGAGGCCATATCAGAAAACCACCATGATTGTATGGCCAACTATGACATCGAAGTGGACAAAGACTTTTGCGACAAACAGGAAAACATGAGTTCAATGGGAGTCCCGCCGGGCTTTGGCGACGACTATAACTGTTATGATTTGGTTTATAACTATCGCACGAAATACGAGAGAAATGCCGATACGTTTGGCTTTGAATGCACGGCACAGAAGTGGGAAGAATACGAACACAACGTTATGCCTGTTATTAAGCATTGTTTGGTTGACAAATGGCAGCACAGGTTGAATAAGTCCGGTCTGGCCAACCATCAAGCGGTAAACCGCGATAATTGTTTTGTCCTCGATGGCCAGTGCATCTTCACCAAGATTGTAAGCTGCATCTCTCTCTCTCTCTCTCTCTCTCTCTCTCTCTC